TGCTGCTCCTGTCACAGCTTCAATTATCTGCTGCTCCTGTCACAGCTTCAATTATCTGCTGCTCCTGTCACAGCTTCAATTATCTGCTGCTCCTGTCACAGCTTCAATTATCTGCTGCTCCTGTCACAGCTTCAATTATCTGCTGCTCCTGTCACAGCTTCAATTATCTGCTGCTCCTGTCACAGCTTCAATTATCTGCTGCTCCTGTCACAGCTTCAATTATCTGCTGCTCCTGTCACAGCTTCAATTATCTGCTGCTCCTGTCACAGCTTCAATTATCTGCTGCTCCTGTCACAGCTTCAATTATCTGCTGCTCCTGTCACAGCTTCAATTATCTGCTGCTCCTGTCACAGCTTCAATTATCTGCTGCTCCTGTCACAGCTTCAATTATCTGCTGCTCCTGTCACAGCTTCAATTATCTGCTGCTCCTGTCACAGCTTCAATTATCTGCTGCTCCTGTCACAGCTTCAATTATCTGCTGCTCCTGTCACAGCTTCAATTATCTGCTGCTCCTGTCACAGCTTCAATTATCTGCTGCTCCTGTCACAGCTTCAATTATCTGCTGCTCCTGTCACAGCTTCAATTATCTGCTGCTCCTGTCACAGCTTCAATTATCTGCTGCTCCTGTCACAGCTTCAATTATCTGCTGCTCCTGTCACAGCTTCAATTATCTGCTGCTCCTGTCACAGCTTCAATTATCTGCTGCTCCTGTCACAGCTTCAATTATCTGCTGCTCCTGTCACAGCTTCAATTATCTGCTGCTCCTGTCACAGCTTCAATTATCTGCTGCTCCTGTCACAGCTTCAATTATCTGCTGCTCCTGTCACAGCTTCAATTATCTGCTGCTCCTGTCACAGCTTCAATTATCTGCTGCTCCTGTCACAGCTTCAATTATCTGCTGCTCCTGTCACAGCTTCAATTATCTGCTGCTCCTGTCACAGCTTCAATTATCTGCTGCTCCTGTCACAGCTTCAATTATCTGCTGCTCCTGTCACAGCTTCAATTATCTGCTGCTCCTGTCACAGCTTCAATTATCTGCTGCTCCTGTCACAGCTTCAATTATCTGCTGCTCCTGTCACAGCTTCAATTATCTGCTGCTCCTGTCACAGCTTCAATTATCTGCTGCTCCTGTCACAGCTTCAATTATCTGCTGCTCCTGTCACAGCTTCAATTATCTGCTGCTCCTGTCACAGCTTCAATTATCTGCTGCTCCTGTCACAGCTTCAATTATCTGCTGCTCCTGTCACAGCTTCAATTATCTGCTGCTCCTGTCACAGCTTCAATTATCTGCTGCTCCTGTCACAGCTTCAATTATCTGCTGCTCCTGTCACAGCTTCAATTATCTGCTGCTCCTGTCACAGCTTCAATTATCTGCTGCTCCTGTCACAGCTTCAATTATCTGCTGCTCCTGTCACAGCTTCAATTATCTGCTGCTCCTGTCACAGCTTCAATTATCTGCTGCTCCTGTCACAGCTTCAATTATCTGCTGCTCCTGTCACAGCTTCAATTATCTGCTGCTCCTGTCACAGCTTCAATTATCTGCTGCTCCTGTCACAGCTTCAATTATCTGCTGCTCCTGTCACAGCTTCAATTATCTGCTGCTCATGTCACAGCTTCATATAACTGCTGCTGGTGTCACATGATGTAGAGTCTGCTGCTGGCGTCACAGCATGGGGCAACACTTCTACCATGTAACAGCATAATGTCTCAGCTCTAGATGCTCAACTCACAGCATATGTCCGCCAACTACACGCATCATAGCGTGCAGTGTCACTTCTGCAAATGTCACAGCATGGCAGGGTTGCTGCTGCTCATGTCAAAGCATGTAGTGTGTGCTAGGGGCGTTACAACATGAACCGACATTGCTGCCATGTCACAGCATAGGGTCACAGCTCTGCAGTTCATAGCACCATACCACTGCTCTGTGATGTCACACCATGTGCTCACTCTTTCTCATGTCGCAGCTTCACATCACTCTACTCATGTCACAGTATGTAGTGTCTGCTGCTGGCGTCAATGAAATTAGGCAGCAAATCTGCTATCTCACAACATAAGATCAGTTGGCGCTGGCCCTAGCATCATATCACTGCTTACTCTTGTCACCACAAGTGCTCACTCCTCCTCGTGTCACAGCATCATACACTGAACGAAAATATTGTCCTTATGCATTCGAAATGTATGATAACTTCCACCCAATTGGGGCCTTAACAAGTTTTGTAATAAGCATATTGCATACAGGGTTTAGGGTTGACTGTTACGAGTTTGTGTAGGCTACCTATAGCCCCCACAAAACCTCTTGCTCTAACGAGTCAGCTCTTCCCTCTCGACACCCCACACGGACAAATCTTTCCGAAATGTCCCGCTCCTTATTTGGTGCGCTGTTAGATTTAGACTAATTAGGTACACAGGAGATTACGGGCGGATACTACGATTTATGAGTAGCGCTAACACCCCCGCAGCATGAAGCGCCTTAGCGAGGAGAAACAGAAGCGGATCATGCAGCGAATTGCGGAGGGGCGTAGTTACCGCCAAATCGCGCAGGAGTTGGGAGTTTCAAAGTCTGCAGTTCATGACGAGCTCCTCCGCCACCTCGGTCCGAAAACGTTCGACGAGCTAGTGCCGTCCCCGGCGAAACCTGGTCAGCCGCGCAAGTTACCAGAGCAAATCGCGAGGATAGTTATAAGGTCGATAGTGTCTGGTGAATCGAAATCCGCCGAGGCGGCAGCGGGAATGATCTCCTCATCGCACGGCATCAGTGTCAAGCGCGCCACCGTGCGAAACACTCTCAAGCGGCACAGAGTTAGGGCGGTAGAAAAGCCGTCGAAGCCTAGATTATCGGCGAAAAATGTCAAGGACCGCAGACAGTGGGCCAAGGACCATCAGCACTGGACGATCGACGACTGGAAACGTGTGGTGTGGAGCGACGAAACGAAGATATGCTGGTTTAGTAGCGACGGCCGTAGTTGGGCCTGGATTAGGGAGGACTGTCACATGGAGCCGCACCATGTGAAACAGACCGTCAAACATGGCGGCGGCTCCATCATGATTTGGGGATGTATGACATACAACGGCGCGGGTTTCATGTGCAAGATAGAGGGAAGAATGAACGGCGAGTTGTACCGTTCAATCCTGCAGGATGAGCTGCAGCAGACTATTGACCATTACGAGTTTGATCCCGAGACCGTTGTGTTCCAGCATGACAATGACCCGAAGCATACATGCAAGATGGTCAAAACTTACCTTGCCGAGCAGCCGTACTCTGTGCTCCCATGGCCAGCATCTAGTCCGGACCTCAACCCCATAGAACATCTGTGCGTTTACTTGAAGAAGCAGCTGCTTGCTTACCCCCACCCCCCTGCAGGCATTCTCGAGCTATGGGACAGAGTACAAGTGGAATGGGAGAAAATCCCTGCGGCTTGGTGCAGTGAGCTGATCGACAGCATGCCTAGGCGTGTGCGGGCTGTGCTCAAGGCCAAGGGTCGCTGGACCAAGTACTAGATTCTGCTTGCTTTGCATGTGTGACTGTAATTGTAAAAAACTGTCCTTATGCTAGTATTTGCCTATTTCTATATTCGCTGCTTGTTTAACCGAGTTTATGGCCAACATGCAGAGTGTTTAGATGTACAACCCTTCAGGCTTTAACCTCATGCGGTCCAGTTATTAAGGCTTAATCACCATGGCCACTAATGCCCGTTCATGTCTTGAAACATGAACATATGGACAATTATTTCGTCCACTGTATCACGTTGGCGCGTGTCAACGTTGGCGCGTGTCAAGGCATGTAGTGTCTACTGCTGGCGTTGCAACGTGACGCATAAGGTCTATGCTGTTTATGTCACACCATCTCATCGCTGCTTTTTTTGTTTGAGCATGTGCGCACTCTTGCTCGTGTCACGGCATCATATAACTACTGCTCATGTCAAAGCATGCAAGGTCTATTGGCGGCGTCACAACATGAGCCGACACTGCTGCCATGTCGAAGCATAAGGTCACTGTTGTTTCCTGTCAAAGTATTTCAACAATGCTTTCTAATCCTTCCTGTCACGGCTTCGCATAGCTGCTGCTCATGTCACAGCTTCATATAGCTGCTGCTCATGTCACAGCTTCATATAGCTGCTGCTCATGTCACAGCTTCATATAGCTGCTGCTCATGTCACAGCTTCATATAGCTGCTGCTCATGTCACAGCTTCATATAGCTGCTGCTCATGTCACAGCTTCTTATAGCTGCTGCTCATGTCACAGCTTCATATAGCTGCTGCTCATGTCACAGCTTCATATAGCTGCTGCTCATGTCACAGCTTCATATAGCTGCTGCTCATGTCACAGCTTCATATAGCTGCTGCTCATGTCACAGCTTCGTATAGCTGCTGCTCATGTCACAGCTTCATATAGCTGCTGCTCATGACACAGCTTCATATAGCTGCTGCTCATGTCACAGCTTCATATAGCAAATGCCCATCGCGCTCCTGGACCAAGGCGCGCGCCTGGAGGAAGGCGCGCTCCTGGACCAAGGCGCGCGCCTGGACCAAGTCACGCTCCTGGACCAAGGCGCGCGCCTGGACCAAGGCACGCTCCTGGACCAAGTCGCGCTCCTGGACCAAGTCGCGCTCCTGGACCAAGTCGCGCTCCTGGACCAAGTCGCGCGCCTGGACCAAGTCGCGCGCCTGGACCAAGGCGCGCGCCTGGACCAAGGCGCGCGCGCCTGGACCTAGTCGCGTGCCTGGACCAAGTCGCGCGCCTGGACCAAGGCGCGCGCCTGGACCAAATCACACGCCTGGACCAAGGCGCGCTTTCTGGACCTAGGCGCGCGCGCCTGGACCAAGGCGCGCGCCTGGACCAAGGCTCGCGCGCTTGGACCTAGTCGCGCACCTGGACCAAGTTGCGTTCCTGGACCAAGGCGCGCGCGCCTGGACCAAGTCGCGCGCCTGGACCAAGGCGCGCGCCTGGACCAAGGCGCGCGCCTGGACCAAGGCGCGCGCGCCTGGACCAAGTCGCGCACATGGACCAAGTCGCGCTCCTAGACCAAGGCGCGCTCCTGGACCAAGGCGCGCGCGCCTGGACCAAGTTGCGCGCCTGGACCAAGGCGCGCGCCTGGACCAAGGCGCGCGCGCCTGGACTTAGTCGCGCACCTGGACCAAGTCGCGCTCCTGGACCAAGGCGCGCGCCTGGACCAAGGCGCGCTCCTGGACCAAGGCGCACGCCTGGACCAAGTCGCGCGCCTGGACCAAGTCGCGCGCCTGGACCAAGTCGCGCGCCTGGACCAAGGCGCGCGCCTGGACCAAGTCGCGCGCCTGGACCAGGGCGCGCTCCTGGACCAAGGCGCGCGCGCCTGGACCAAGGCGCGCGCTTGGACCAAGGCGCGCGCCTGGACCAAGGCTCGCTCCTGGACCAAGGCGCGCTCCTGGACCAAGGCGCACGCCTGGACCAAGTCGCGCGCCTGGACCAAGTCGCGCGCCTGGACCAAGGCGCGCGCCTGGACCAAGGCGCGCGCCTGGACCAAGTCGCGCGCCTGGACCAAGGCGCGCGCCTGGACCAAGTCGCGCGCCTGGACCAAGTCGCGCGCCTGGACCAAGGCGCGCTCCTGGACCAAGTCGCGCACCTGGACCAAGTCGCGCGCCTGAACCAAGGCGCGCTCCTGGACCAAGTCGCGCGCCTGGACCAAGTCGCGCGCCTGAACCAAGGCCAGCTCGTGGACCAAGTCGCGCGCCTGGAACAAGTCGCGCGCCTGGACCAAGGCGCGCTCCTGAACCAAGGCGCGCTCCTGGACCAAGGCGCGCTCTTGGACCAAGGCGCGCGCCTGGACCAAGTCGAGCGCCTGGACCAAGGCGCGCGCCTGGACCAAGGCGCGCGCCTGGACCAAGTCGCGCTCCTGGACCAAGTCGCGCGCTTGGACCAAGGCGCGCCTCTGGACCAAGGCGCGCGCGCCTGGACCAAGTCGCGCGCCTGGACCAAGTCGCGCTCCTGGACCAAGGCGCGCGCCAGGAGCAAGGCGCGCTCCTGGACCAAGGCGCGCGCCTGGACCAAGTCACGCTCTTGGACCAAGGCGCGCGCCTGGACCAAGGCGCGCTCCTGGACCAAGTCGCGCTCCTGGACCAAGGCGCGCTCCTGGACCAAGTCGCGCTCCTGGATCAAGTCGCGCTCCTGGACCAAGTCGCGCGCCTGGACCAAGTCGCGCTCCTGGACAAAGGCGCGCGCCTGGAGCAAGGCGCGCTCCTGGACCAAGGCGCGCGCCTGGACCAAGTCACGCTCCTGGACCAAGGCGCGCGCCTGGACCAAGGCGCGCTCCTGGTCCAAGTCGCGCTCCTGGACCAAGTCGCGCGCCTGGACCAAGTCGCGCTCCTGGACCAAGGCGCGCGCCTGGAGCAAGGCGCGCTCCTGGACCAAGGCGCGCGCCTGGACCAAGTCACGCTCCTGGACCAAGGCGCGCGCCTGGACCAAGGCGCGCTCCTGGACCAAGGCGAGCTCCTGGACCATGTCGCGCTCCTGGACCAAGTCAAGCTCCTGGACCAAGGCGCGCTCCTGGACCAAGGCGCGCTCCTGGACCAAGTCGCGCGCCTGGACCAGCGTGCCTGGACCAAGTCGCGCGCCTGGACCAAGTCGCGCGCCTGGACCAAGTCGCGCGCCTGGACCAAGTCGCGCGCCTGGACCAAGTCGCGCGCCTGGACCAAGTCGCGCGCCTCGACCAAGTCGCGCGCCTCGACTAAGGCGCGCGCCTGGACCAAGGCACGCGCGCCTGGACCAAGTCGCGCACCTGGACCAAGTCGCGCTCCTGGACCAAGGCGGGCGCCTGGACCTGTCAGAATGCTATAATTTTCTAGTCTGCAGTGGGGTACTCCATAGTGAGTACAACCCTGTTAGGGTTTGCTATATGTACTGCCCTGCTTACTAGTGCAACTCCTCTTCCTCCTTCTAAACTCTCTACTCCTAAACTTCGATATGCTATCAGAGCGATTACGCTCCTGGCCTGTGGGCCCACCTGCTTCCGCTGCCCTACTGTGTGTCGCGCGCCCTGTGGCGCGTGACCTTCGATTTTTCTTCCCGCCACGCGCTCGGGGCGCGTGGCGGTTTTCTGCCCGCCGTGCGCCCCGAGGCGCGCGGCGGTTTCTTGCTTCGTGTGGCGCCCTGGGGGCCCGCGCGTCGCCCTCCTCCCGTCGCCTCGTCGCGGCGCCCTGGGGGCCCGCGCGCCGGCCCCTCCCGTCCCTTCGTCGCGTCGCCTTAGGGGCCCGCGCGCAGGCCCCTCCCGTCGCCTCGTCACGGCGCTTTGGGGGCCCGCGCGCCGGCCCCTCCCGTCGCCTCGTCGCGGCGCCCTGGGGGCCCGCGCGCCGGCCCCAACCGTCGCCTCGTCGCGGCGCCTTGGGGGCCCGCGCGCGGCCCCTCCCGTCGCCCGTCGAGCCGCCCTCGTGGGCCCGTGCGCGGCCCCCCTCCCGTCACCCGCTGTGGCGCCCTCGGGGGGCCCGCGCCCTGCTTTTTCGTGGCGCCCTGGAGACCCCCCGCCGCCTCCCTTTCCCTCCGTGACCCGCCCCTACTGCTTCCCGCGCTCCTACCTGCGTTAGGGTTTGGGGGTGGCGGGTGTGGGGGTGGCGGTTGTGAGTTCCTCCCCTTGCTCCTCCTCCTCCCTCGTCTCCCACTGCTGCAGCTGTCGTTGAGGGGGGTGGGTGTGTGGGAGCCTAGGGATTAGGGTTTAAGGGGGGTGCCGTGGGAGTGGAGCTAGGGTTTCAGCAGGGGGTGTGTGAGAGGGGCGTGGGGCAGCTGGGGGAGGTTGAGTGGAGGCAGCCGTCGTGTCGCCAGCAGCACCAGTAGTCCGGAGGCTACAATCTCCGGTAGTCGCCAGTCGCCTGTGGGTCAGTTACTCCGGTCTGGAGGCTACAATCTCCGCGGAGCCAGTTACTCCTGTAGTCCGGGCCTTTGCTTCGCTAGCCACAGAGCCAGCAGCTCCTGTGTGTCTGCAGCTTCAGCAGTCGCCTCCCATCTTCTCTCCCCCACAGTCTCTCCTCCTCCTCACTTGCCCTCTGTGATAGCCTCTAGCTTTACTTGTGCTTGTGCACTTATTTATGACTGCTTGTTGTACAGATTATACCCCACTTTGCCTATCGGGGTGTGTCAGAATGCTATAATTGTCTAGTCTGCAGTGGGGTACTCCATAGTGAGTACAACCCTGTTAGGGTTTGCTATATGTACTGCCCTGCTTACTAGTGCAACTCCTCTTCCTCCTTCTAAACTCTCTACTCCTAAACTTCGATAGGACCAAGGCGCGCTCCTGGACCAAGGCGCACGCCTGGACCAAGTCGCGCGCCTGGACCAAGTCGCGCTCCTGGACCAAGTCGCGCGCTTGGACCAAGGCGCGCGCCTGGACCAAGGTTCGCGCGCTTGGACCAAGTCGCGCCAAGGCGCGCGCCTGGACCAAGGCGCGCTCCTGGACCAAGGCGCACGCCTGGACCAAGTCGCGCGCCAAGACCAAGTCGCGCGCCTGGACCAAGGCGCGCGACTGGACCAAGTCGCGCGCCTGGACCAAGTCGCGCGCCTGGACCAAGGCGCGCGCCTGTACCAAGGCGCGCGTCTGGACCAAGTCGCGCGCCTGGACCAAGGCGCGCGTGCCCAAGTCGCGCGCCTGGACCAAGGCACGCTCCTGGACCAAGGCGTGCACCTGGACCAAGTCGCGCGCGCCTGGACCAAGTCGCGCTCCTGGACCAAGTCACGCGCTTGGACCAAGGCGCGCGCCTGGACCAAGGCGCGCGCGCCTGGACCAAGTCGCGCGCCTGGACCAAAGCGCGCTCCTGCACCAAGGCGCGCTCCTGGAGCAAGGCGCGCTCCTGGACCAAGGCGCGCGCCTGGACCAAGTCGCGCTCCTGGACCAAGGCGCGCGCCTGGACCAAGGCGCGCACCTGGACCAAGTCGCGCGCCTTGACCAAGGCGCGCGCCTGGACCAAGTCGCGCTCCTGGACCAAGTCGCGCGCCTGGACCAAGTCGCGCGCCTGGACCAAGGCGCGCTCCTGGACCAAGGCGCGCACCTGGACCAAGTCGCGCACCTTGACCAAGGCGCGCGCCTGGACCAAGGCGCGCGCCTGGAGCAAGGCGCGCGCCTGGACCAAGTCGCGCGCCTGGACCAAGGCGCGCTCTTGGACCAAGGCGCGCGCCTGGACCAATTCGCGCTCCTGGACCAAGGCGCGCGCCTGGACCAAGACGCGCGCCTGGACCAAGGCGCGCGCCTGGACCAAGTGGCGCTCCTGGACCAAGTCGCGCGCTTGGACCAAGGCGCGCGCCTGGACCAAGGCGCGCGCGCCTGAACAAGGTCGCGCGCCTGGACCAAGTCGCGCTCCTGGACCAAGGCGCGCGCCTAGCTCGCGCGCGCCTAGAGCTAGGCGCGCTCCAAGACCAAGGCGCGCACCTGGACCAAGTCGCGCTCCTGGACCAAGGCGCGCTCTTGGACCAAGGCGCGCTCCTGGACCAAGGCGCGCGCCTGGACCAAGTCGCGCGCGTGGACCAAGGCGCGCGCCTGGACCAATGCGCGCGCGCCTGGACCAATGCGCGCGCGCCTGGACCAAGTCGCGCGCCTGGACCAGCGTGCCTGGACCAAGTCGCGCGCCTGGACCAAGTCGCGCGCCTAGACCAAGTCGCGCGCCTGGACCAAGGCGCGCTCCTGCACCAAGGCGCGCTCCTGGACCAAGGCGCGCGCCTGGACCAAGGCGCGCACCTGGACCAAGTCGCGCACCTGGACCAAGGCGCGCTCCTGGACCAAGGCGCGCGCCTGGACCAAGGCGCGCTCCTGGACCAAGTCGCGCGCTTGGACCAAGGCGCGCGCCTGGACCAAGGCGGCGCGCGCGCCTGGACCAAGTCGCGCTCCTGGACCAAGTCGCGCTCCTGGACCAAAGCGCGCGCCTGGAGCAAGGCGTGCTCCTGGACCAAGGCGCGCGCCTGGACCAAGTCGCGCGCCTGGACCAAGGCGCGCGTTTGGACCAAGTTGCGCGCCTGGACCAAGTTGCGCGTCTGGACCAAAGCCCGCGCCTGGACCAAGTCGCGCGCCTGGACCAAGTCGCGCGCCTGGACCAAGTCGCGCGCGCCTGGACCAAGTCGCGCGCCTGGACCAAGTCGCGCGCCAGGACCAAGGCGCGCCCCTGGACCAAGGCGTGCTCCTGGACCAAGGCGCGCGCCTGGACCAAGGCGCGCTCCTGGACCAAGGTGCGCTCCTGGACCAAGGCGCGTGCCTGGACCAAGGCGCGCGCTTGGACCAAGTCGCGCTCCTGGACCAAGGCGCGCTCCTGGACCAAGGCGCGCTCCTGGACCAAGTCGCGCGCCTGGACCAAGGCGCGCGCCTGGACCAATGCGCGCGCGCCTGGACCAAGTCGCGCGCCTGCACCAAGTCGCGCGCCTGGACCAAGTCGCGCGCCTGAACCAAGGCGCGCTCCTGGACCAAGTCGCGCGCTTGGACCAAGGCGCGCTCCTGGACCAAGGCGCGCTCCTGGACCAAGGCGCGCGCCTGGACCAAGGCGCGTTCCTGGACCAAGGCGCACACCTGGACCAAGTCGCGCGCCTGGACCAAGGCTCGCGCGCCTGGTGTTATAGTCACAATAGGCTTGAATGTGCCTAAAACGAAAGATAGAGAGCACAGACGGATTTCTGCACAGCAGCTTCAAACGTTGATAGCGTTCTGCTCACAGCTGCAAATGACTTGATTCAAATTGGATCTGGAGCGTCTTCACGTCGTCTACAATTAGCAATTTAGATTGCACGATTTGATAAAGAATTGACGACACAGCGTTGGTTTGAACGAACGGTACTATGGCAACCACTATAGTCTTAGAACACAAGATAGGAAGAGTTACGAGTTGGGAATGACTCCCAGCTCCTACAAACCCCAAGAGCCGAGGTACAGTGATGTGGAACAGTGCCACACTGTCCCCAACCACGAAGGGTCTCGAAACTACCCTTCACTAGGGCCTACACCAAGTGAAATGTTACACTACACAAAGTAATGTAACTATCTTCAATATCTTGAGGTGTGCCCTTTTGGCAAGCTTCGAAATCACTTGAGGCTTGACACCAAGGCTCGGGCTCTTCATCACAAACTCATCCTTGAGTTCTTGATGGGTCTGCTGCACACACCTGCGACACGCCGAACGTTCGACACAGGACAAAATAGAAACCGCGCACGACAAAATAGAAACCGCGCGCGAGACACAAACGACCGCGTAACACGCGTCTAGCGATAACTCGCTATTGACTCGACACACACACTCGACATCATGACTCAACATTCACACACAATTATAAGCATGAAATATATATTATCCCATGCCCTCATACCATTCCATACACACACACATTCACGCACACGGACAACAAGCCGAGTGCAAACCGTAGGGTTGCACCAACAAACTCCCCCTCGGATTGTTGGCCTTAGGATATGTTGCTCTCTCAGTTCAGAGCCATCCCAGCCAGCTTGCAACACTTCCAATGCTGCTGCTCCACCAGCCTCTTGGTCATCATGTCAGCCGGCTTCCCCGTGGTCTTCACGTAGCGCAACTCAACTTCACCCGCGGTTACCATGCTCCTCGTCCAATGCCACTTCACCCTCATGTGCTTCGTGAGTCCATGCAACACAGGGTTCTTAGCAAGAGCAATGGCACCCTGGCTGTCACAGTACAGTGGGGTAGGTCCTTGCTGCTCCTCCCCCAATTCAGCCAACAAACGCCGCTGCCACACAATCTCCCGTACGGCACGGAAGAGTGCCATGTACTCGGACTCCACCGAGCTCAAAGCTTGGTCAACCTGCTTCTTGCTCTCCCAAGCAGTTGGGCCTCCACCAACACAGCATATGAAGCCTCCCACACTTGTCATGTCCTCTGGTTCTGATGCATATGAAGCATCCGAGTAGGCGGTGAGGAACAAACGCCCGGGTTCAACACCATCCGCGCCCTTTTGGCGCCTTTGTGCCGCCGCCGAGTATTGCAGCCCAACGGTCGGTGTTTGGCCAAGATACTTGGCCACCCTCATTCCAGCTGCTACCTGCTCCTCATTAGGGCATTGCACAACCCTAGCCAGCTGCCCGGTAGCAAACGCGACGTCCGGTCGGGTGTTTACCGCCGCATACATGAGGCTGCCCACCAACGAGTGAAATCGGCGCCTCTCCTCTTCACCAACGCTCTCCTCCTCTGGTCCCTTCACACACTTGAACCCAGAGGGAAAGGGTGTAGCCACATGGCTTTCACTCTGCCCAAAGTTGGCAGCCAATGCCTCCAGGTACTTTCGTTGATGCACCCGCATGCACCGCTTCTCCACATCTCGTTCGATGTGGAGCCCAAGGTAGAAGCTCACGTCACCAAGGGCCTTGCACTTGAACTTGTCTTGAAGCTTCAGCATCACCTCCTTCACAAGGTCAGAAGAGGGTGAGAAAATGAGGATGTCATCCACATAAACCACCATGAAACTCCTCTGCTCCCCCTCGCCAAGCATGAACAAGGAGTGATCGGCCGTTGAGGGAGTGAAGCCGATCCCCTCCAACACTTCGCGCAGCTTCATGTACCATTGCCTAGGGGCCTGCTTCAGCCCATAGAGGGCCTTCTTCAGCTTCCACACTCTGCCACTACCATCATCAAACCCCTCTGGCTGTGCCATAAAAATCTCCTCCTCAAGGATGCCGTTAAGGAATGCCGTTACGATGTCCATTTGCTTTACTACCCATCCTTTGATGGCGGCTCCCGCGAATAGGGTTCGCAGCGTCGTCGGCTTCACCACAGGGGCAAACAGCTCCTTGAAGTCCACCTTCTCCTTCTGCTGGTACCCCTTGGCTACAAGCCTAGACTTGTAGCGCTCGATCTTGCCGTCGGCATCCGACTTGATTTTGAAGAGCCACTTGGACGTTATCGCCGTACGCCCCTCCGGTAGCTCCACCAATTCAAACGTGTCATTCTCCTCGATGCTCTTCAGCTCACTCTCCATGGCCTTCTTCCACTCCTCAGCATCACTACTCTCCAAAGCCTCCTTGAGAGTTGCTGACTCTCCCGGCATCTCCACCGGAGAGAAGAACGCGAAGGCACACTCCTCGTAGTCACTCTCCTCGTCGTCTCCGACCATCATTGCCGCTCCGGCCAGGGCTGTCTTGCCCTGCTTTCCCGGCGCATCATAGGTCAGCCTATTAGGGGGTTGAACTCTCCTCTTCCCCCTTCCTTCCTCCTCAGCTGCAGGGACTTGAAGGCCTTGGCGTTGCTGCGGTGTGGCTCGAATCCGTGGAGCACTCGTAGTACGGGAAGGGAGTGACGGTGCACGCTCGCTCGCTTGCTGCACCTCCTCCTCTTCTTCCTCTGCATCATTGGCCTCCTCTCCCCCATTCACAAGGGAGGATTGCTTTGTGGTTGTGCTGCCGCTGCTCAGCTCCAAAGGCAGCTCCACATGCTCCAAACCGGAACTCTTCACCTCCCCAAACCGCACGCCTATCTTCGCCTCATTCTCCGCCTTCCAATCCTTGTACATGAAGTTCTCCATGAACTTGCAGTCCCTGCTCACCAAGAACTTCTTGGTGAATGGGTCCCAAAGAAGCCATCCCTTGCTGTTTTGAGCCATGCCCAAGTGCACGGCCCACACCGCCTTGGCACCAAGCTTGTTGTGCCGAAGATGCTTAGGCACGAGCGCCATGCACATGCACCCGAACACCCGAAGCATATCCACCTTTGGCTTCCTTCCTAGCCACTCCACATAGGGCACCCATTTGTCTGCTCCCACATGAGTCAAGGCTCTGTTCTTGGCCACACACGCGCTCCGCACCGGCCAGAAATAGTCGGGTAGCCCGGCTTCAATGAGCAACCCCCGTGCCGCCTCCGTGATTGTGCGGTTCGCTCGCTCGGCGATGCCGTTCATTGCAGGGGAGTATGGCATGGTGAGGGAGTGCCGAATACCATTCTTCTTCAGCCACAACCCAAACTCCTTGCTCAGGAACTCTCCCCCTTGATCGGTGCGGATTGACTTGACTAGACGGTCTTGTTGCCGCTCCACCATCGGGAACCAATCCGTCTTCAACGTTTCAGCCACGTCGCTCTTCTTGGCCAGCACGTACACCCAAGTCATGCGGGTGTAGACGTCGACAATGGTGAGAAAATACTCAGCTCCAGCAGCTCCAAGCTTCAGGGGGCCCACCACGTCCATCACCACCTCATAAAGCGGTGCCTTTGCCGTTGCCTCCGAACTAGGGAACGGAAACCGGGTGAACTTGGCTTGAATGCACGTCGGGCAGCCAAGCACCTCATCGGGCTCCCCCTTCACACGTATGCCAGCAACCATCTCATTCTTCACT